GCCAAACCTCCTTTTCTCTCGAATGTGGAACAAAATAATATCATAATTGATCAGATTTCATTGAAATGCAGACTGCATTCTCTTCAAATTTTTACAGATGCGTATCTGGTAGCATTCGATTTTCAATTACAAGTTGAAAATTAATTTATTGCTTGAAGAAATTACCCATTATGGTCGTGTTGTAATTATTGATTACATTAGATCGCAAGAAAAACAACATTACCAATAATATGAATAATTTATTATCCATAATGGGATGACAGAAACGGTAGAGACATGAGTATAAATTATGTTTTGTAGGTAAATTTAGAGCAATTTACTTTTCCTGTAATTCTTTGGAAACGCACGTTTCTAAATAAAATTATAAAATTTATTCCGATAACAAACTTTCTTATTTTATCTGAAACTGTGAAAATCACTCGGATGGACATGGGAATAGATCCCCAGAGATCTGTATACCACAATTTATAGCCCCAACTTCACCATATAAGTACACCTACTTAGCATTCTTCAATAAATCTCTTCACAGAGATCTATTATTATGTAATTTAAAGTTTGATATTTCTGTTAAGTTCTCAGATATCCAGAACATGATCAAAAAATCTACATTTTTTTACGAGGAGAATAAAACTCTTCATCAATCTAACAGCCTGTAATCAAATTATCTTCCTAGTAATTACTAATTAGGCAAACAGTGTCAACAAACAACATGTCTTATTAGTGCACTTTTAAATCAAGATAACGATCAAGTCCTGCCTCTTATACATCTAATTTTTGTGTAAAAAATTATTCAAACAAATATTTGTTAATGACGAAGCTTCAACAAGATATTACAAAATAACAAATACAGTTTGAAAAAGTTTATTCAGGAAGTAGAAAAGAATTGATTTGCAAGTAAAAGGAAAAAAAATAGGATGTGTAAGTAGCCTTAAAGTGTTGTCAAAATATTTTTGATTCTTATCATCTTCTGAAGTTTTTCTGGTAGTAAATACAAGTAATAATTTATTCTGTAATGTCATGTCAGTAAACATTTTACAAAAAAATAGATCCAAAAAAATTATAACATAAATTATGTTTTATAATTTTGATCAAATTTTGTCTTGAGTCTTTTATTATGACTGTATTGATTTTTCTTTATATATTTTTTTTTGAAATACAAAAATATATTAATACACTGTTTCACATAATTTGTAAGATGCAATCAATAATATATATTCCTATACGAACTCGATTACAATTTTTGAAAAATTGGATAATCTTCTTTACTTTGTACACCCTTTCAAAAATTACAACATTTTTAGTTAGTTAGTAATTAAGATAGATAAACTAGATTCATGCCGTCTCTTAAATAGAAGAAATGATAATTGTTTCTGAAAAACTGCAGTTTTTGACTACTAATGAAACTAATTAGTTTGACAACTACTGTCATGGGTTTCCAAAAATTAAATAATTAAATGTGTATTTTTTGTATCTAGTGTTTTGTGAATTTTGTATATTTGGGTGCGTACATTAGGCGCAAGCGTCGTAAAGTTGTGTGAAACACCCTGTATACTACCTAAATTTTTTGTATTCCCTATAAAATCTCTGCGTGTATAGATGTGAATTAGATTATATCGCCTGCCTAAAAACTTTTTTTTTATTCATAAAGAGCTAATATAAATTTGTGTTATTGTTCTGAATATTTGTATAACACAAATGATGTTAGCTTCAGTAAAGTACAAGTAAATTTATATTTAAATTTCTCCGTGACATTGCCGGTGTGATAGAATTTGGATCACTCTGTATATTTGAAATAGTAACACAGGGCGACAAATAAAGTCATGTGACAACTTGACAAATTTTATATCATTCGAAGTAATCTAAGAAAAACCATACGAGTAATTTTTTTTCTTTATCACAATCGTGTAGAGCATCTTTTTATTAGTTAGAATCCAAAAAGAAAAAAAAAATTAGTCGTAGGGTTTTTCTTAGATTACTTCTATTTACTTCGAACTTCTTCGAACACTGTTCGAAAAAAAGTTCGCCAATATTCAATTTCAAATTGCATATCATTCTAAAGGGCAAGTCCATCCCTTTAAAATAGTCTTTATTTGAAGGAAATCGGCATAACAGTTATTGAGCAATGATTTTTTAAAGTTAAAGTATTTCAAATTCATTTAAATTAGAAAAAAATTATTTAGTTCAAAGTGTGTGGACTTTTTAAATTTTTTTTTAGTGCATTTGATTTGTCTCACTGAGACGAACAAAATGATATATAAATTGTCAAGTTGTCACGACATGACTTTTTTTTTGTCGCCCTGTGTTATCAAAGCAAAATTTTTCTTTTATTACGAAACCAAACCGTATTTTTTATTTTATTTTTATACTGTATAATTTCCAAAAAAAAATCAAAAATTTATGAAGTAAATTTTTTTTAGTAAAAATTTCTCCAACAATATTTAAATGTGATTGATCGAATATGCAAATTGCGTTAAAATTAACGCATCTGTTTACTTGTAGCATTAATAAAATGGAACAGACCTACATTTTGTAAACAAATATCTCGAAAAGTCTATTTTTAGTGATAACAATTGAAAATTTATAAGTTAAACTTCCACCTTGACCCTTCATCTTTCGGTCACGAAGGCCGCAACTAATTCAATAAAATGATTATATACAGTGTGGCCGCGAGGTTCGATAGAGTGATAAAAGGCATTATACAAGTGCAATATGTTATGCAAGAGTGAGTCATGTCCTTCACAGGATCAAACCAGCCGCTAAAACACCCACGCTAGTGCCGCCAGCAACCTATCTAAGATCGCCCATAATGGAAAGGTCTGTTTCAGAGAAATCACTCGATTAATAGTATTGATACAAGAATTTTTATTTGATTCAAACTTGGTCTTGTTTTAAGTAACACGATATCGATTTTTTCGGAGTTGAATTAAAATATTTTCTCTGATATTTTCCTGTTTTTTAGAAAGTTTCTTTCCTATTGCCAATTATAGATGCGTCTGTAGGCTATTTTTCATTAATATGGTAAAACTCTATACTTTCCATTCCACGTAACTGCGTGGTCGCTAAACACTGAATGACATTAATTGCCATTATTTGAAAAAATCCATTACGAAAATTTGCATTTTGTTTAAGTGGAAATCGCAAGTGCTATTAACATGAGCTATTAAAAAATAAAAAATCCAATTGTGCCCAAATTAGAAACAGATTTCTACTCAACTCGCTAATTTTATTACTTAATCGAAATGTTGTTTCAAAAACTCAACTACCTACATACTAAATCACTTAAACCGCGAATTAGTTTATGTAATTTTTGTTTATCGCGACAAAATTATAAATTCATCTGTTCCGATCACTTTTCTCTCTCAATTAATTTTTTTTTTGAACAAGTCAGATTTTTCACAAATTTTCGTAGTATAACATAATTTATCGTATTAGTTCCAGTACGTTCTAATGCCTTCTTCGAATTGTGTAAGAAATCCTTGAACACGTCCCATTAATCAAGCAAAAGGGTGTGCATTGTATTTCAGTAGCTCGGAAGAATAATAATCTTGAGACAAAATATTTCGAAGGTGAGCCTACACTCTTTCTTATCGCGCTGCATTTATTTATTTCAGAGTGCCAAACACCGATACTGATCTCAATTTATGCAAGACAGCGGAATACATCAATGATTTTCCTGTTTTACTGTCACACATTCCCATAATTTAATGAAAACAATTATTGTCAAAAACTTTATTCTTTTGGAAATTCGTGTTCCAACAGGTATAAGAATAAGTCTAAACCTTTTTTTGTATCAACCTACGCTTGTTCACGTGTCCTCCTACGCGTGGACTCGACTACTGACAAATATGGTATTCAAGAAGTTATGGAGGCAGGTAAACATGCAATATCTGATTAGCGCTCACCTCATAACAATTACTACATTAACTACTGACAAAATCGGTACATATTTTTTCAAAACAAACAGTAACATATAAAATGTTGCTTCTGAACCAGGGTATTTGGCACCCTAAAAACGAGGCAGAATCCTTAAAATGTTGCTGTTTTTCCGAAGGTAAACAATTAAAGACCTGAAATCTTTCAATAAGCACTAATTTTTATGCACCCCAAAAGTACCCAAATATCTACCACCAGAAATTGGGCAAACCGTTGAAAAAACACCCAAAATCATGCAAAATTACCTAAAAACTTACAGATATCTTGTTTTTAAACACCCCAAAATGGCTTTTTGTTTCTGCCATTTAGTATTTAGTAATTCTCAAACTGTAAGTTGATTTAAATAAACAAAGTTCTTGAGTTAATCGGAAACGACATTAATTTTCATTATAATGAGTACGTTTAAATAATAAATTATATCTTGTTAGAAATGTTGTAATTTTTTATAACATATGAGTCATTAAGAATTAATAAAAATTTTGGTCAAATTAATGAAATAAAAAACCGGATATTGCCCATTTGGGTCACTGTTCAAACCAGTTGCCATCTCTGCAAAGGATGTTGCTTGTGTTTGCGCAATATATTCATTACCAAAGTGCATTTTACCTAAATTGTATACAAAAGATGGTAAATGATTTTCGCAGATGGTTGCTAACAAGTAATAACTTCCTACTAATTTATTATTAAAACTGCCGTATATTTAAAAGGCGCGGTCAGTAACAAAACATTTATCTGAATGTATTATTGTCAGGATTTTTTTAACTTCATTATTCTAAATGCTCAACCTAAATGTCTTCTAATACAATCGAAACAAAAGTAAAATACCTTATCAGTTCTACTAGGCAACTCCATAAAAATTATATAAACATTTGCAATGTAAGTTTTAAACATTAATTAGTTAGATAGCAAAAAATTTCATTAGAAAACATTTCTAACGTTTATTTATTTCGTCTGAAGGCAATATTCTAAAATTAATACTGAACATTTTGTAGTTGTATAATTGGTTGCATAGCTCAATATTTTTTATATATTAAAAGGATTAATGATTCAATAAAAACAACTCAATATGAGTCAAAATGGTTTATTATCATAATTCATAATGTAAAACATATGATACCAATAATTAAAACACTTAAAATGTATTTTCTCATCTTGAAAACTGGCGTTTATCTGAGCCGCCCTTGCGTTTAGGTTGTCTGTAGACAACATTCTTTTTATAATCCTTATTTGGCATTGAATTTAAATTCTTGTAGTAACCAAATCCGCCTCCACCCTTTCTCTTTGAAGGTCTTTCAGATTTTTTAACAGAAACTTCTGCAAAAATAGAAAAATACCATTTCTTATTTGAAATCCAAATAGTAGATAGCACTTACTTAAATCCACAGCTGGGGGTACTTTAAATCCAAACGACAACGCAACTTTAGCTAAATCAAGAGTACTGATATCAAAAATAGTCTTCAAATGATGCGAGTCGTACGCTCTGACATAGGCTTTAAAAGCTTCTTTAGCCGACATGTTCAAAAAGTAATTTTTGCCAATTAAATTCTCCAACTAAAATTGAATTAATAACATAAGAGAAATAAAACAAATAAAATAACAGACTTGTAACTGGATATCCGCAATTTTATTCCAACTAAACTCAAATTCATTCAACGGTACTTTAGCCTGTTTTAGATACCTGAGAAAACCCAGTTCCTCAGGTCTTAAAATTAGTAAAGCATGACCACTGCTTCCTTCACCTCTTGCAGTTCTACCAACTCTGTGAATGTACTCTTTAGGGTCATCTGGAGGGTCATATTGGACAATCCAGTCGACTGCTGGAATGTCTAAACCTCTGGCAGCGACGTCAGTACAGAGCAAAATTCCGGATTCAGCGTTACAAAATTGGAAAAATGTAGTCGTCCGTTTTGCCTGCTTTTGCTTCCCCTAGTTAACAAATTAACAAAAAATTCAAACAAAAAAATAGGCACTTACATGAATGCACATTACTGACAAGTCAATATAATTAAACAATTCGTGATGGAATTTCACAGACATGCAAGAACTGAAAAACACCATCACTTTCTTCTTGCGATTTTTCTTCAAAAATGTGAACAAAACCAATAGTCTTTTTTCAGATGGGCAAACGACGTAACCTTGCTCAAGTCCTGTGACCGTTGCCTCACTTTTGGCGTCATCTACACCGACATAAATCGGCTCCTTTTTCAACGCCAGAGACGTCAAGGTTTCAATTTTTTTCGTTTGTGTGGCACTGAACAACATTGTTTGTCTTCTCTCTAAAAAAAATTGAGAAAAAGCCCTGATAATCAATTTAGAACTTACTTGGCAGAAGACTAATAATCTGTTTCATTTCTTCTTCGAAACCAATATCAAGAATTCTGTCAGCTTCATCAATAACTAGACACTGCAAATTTTTAAAAAGAAAATCGGGGGTGTTTTGCATATGATCCAAAAGACGTCCAGGTGTAGCCACTAGTATGTTTATCCCTTTAGACAATTTCTGAGCTTCTGTTTGTCTACTAGTCCCACCCATAACCAACCCATAAGTATGGTGATGATATTTCATCAATTCCTTTAAAACTCCAAATGTCTGCATTGACAACTCTCTTGTAGGTGAAATAATAATAACACCAGTACCTGCATTAACAACATGAGCAATTCACAAAATCAAAAACAACAAATTTTACCATTTCTTGGCATAAACTTTAGTTTATAAATTAACTCAACTGCTGGTATAAGAAAAGCCAATGTTTTTCCAGATCCTGTTTTTGCAGCGCCGACTAAATCGCGGCCTTCAAGTAAATGAGGAATTGATCTTGCTTGAATTTCAGTAAGTGTTGTAAAACCCATATCAGCAATTGCTTTGAGAGTGTTTTCACAAACTTTGTTTTTAAGAGAGTCAAAAGTGGAGTTACTCAAAATTTCCAACGTGGTCTCAGCACCAGGAACTGCAAATATTTATTATAAAAAAAGAATCGTAATTTTCTTCTTTGCTTTATTAACAAAACAACTAATCAGAACATGGGTGTATTCATAGCAAAATCTCAACTCAAGCATTATCTGAAAAATAATGCGAGGAGACTCATATTCGCCTTTGACTCATCATAGAATATACCAAAAAACTCTTTTTATCATTGATACTCACGCTTATTTTGTTCATCTTCTGGTTCAGCTTCAGCTTCCTGAGGTTCTTCCCCATCGTTATTTTCCTGATGTTCTTCATCTTCACTTTCCTTATCACTTGAATTACTTTCTTCTAAATCTATATCCTTCTTCTTCCTATTTTTTTTCTTCTCTGTAATAATGAAACAAGAAATGACAAAAAAACCCAGTGTTTATTTGAATTAAACTTTATGGACTAAAAAATTAATTACTCACTACGAACAGGCCCTGAATCTTCGTTTTGGACCCTTTTAGCCCCTTTGCGTTGTTCTGGCACAAAGCTCTCCTCTTCCTGTTCTTCTTCAACCAACTTGTTTTTTTCTTTCTCTTTTTGTTGAACCAGTTTTAATTTCTGCTTTTCTCGTTTTTTAATCTTCCTCATTAGCACTTTGTCTTGAATAGACATTTTGAAACACAAAATAAAACACGTGCAATTGATTTGAACTTTCCAAAATTTGAGGTTACGTTAGCTGTCAAAATAATTTTCTAGAAACGTTTATGTTTCCATGTTGGTACAGTGGCGAACAAGAAAATTGCGTAGAGTGGAGTAAAAGCCAAAACTACACATTTGGTAAAGTATATAATGGCGTAACAAAGTAACTTTACTAACTGAAATTGGGATCCTATTCCCACTTATATTGTAAATTGTATTTAATAGTTTCAACTAATTTAATACATGCAGTGTACTAATTTTGTGCTTTTTGTATTTCAGTAAATATAAAGAAGAATAGAGTGAGAAAATCTATTATAATTAAAAAATGGGGATAAGCTAATTTTTTTATGAATTTTCAAAAAATGTAGTTAAAAAAAATTGGAACGAATTTTATTAACGAAATTTATTATAATCACACCAATAATAATAAATAAATTAATAATAATTCATCGTTAAGTTGCGAGGCGGAAGTGACGCAAAATTGAGAAATCCGTCAAATTCAAATTTCGATTTTTCGAGGGCCGTTTTTGCCCAAATGAAGTTAATTGGGCTGGGGACTCGACAAAAATGTCACTAAGATAGCCTTTTTCTAGCACTACAATCATCATTCAATCATCATATCATTTGACTGACAAAAAAAATGTAAAACGGGCCTTAGGCAACTAACCTCACTTTTGGTTTTTGTAATTTTTATCCTGGTAGCTAGAGAAAAAATGACAACAAAATAAAATAATTTATTGAAATTTTAGTTCCAAACGTCAATCATAATGACAATAAAGCGTGGCTTGCATTTTTTTGAAATGACATAAATTTAATGTCCAAAATTCCGTGTCCGCCACTGTATTATATCCAAGTCTGCCTGGGACACCCGGTATATGTTTTCGTGTTCGGCTCATGAAGGTCTGCTGAATTTCAAAGCATTTCGAACTGTTTTTTTAGTTTTTAAAAAAGTTAAAATTCATCTTTGAAAAAAGTTCAACTTTTAGGATTCTGTCCTGTTTTTAAAGTTATATTTTAATAAAATGTAAAGGCACTCGTGCCCGCGATTACGCTAAATGACACCGTAGCGTTGATGGCGCCACAAGCTTTAGAATTGTCTTAAAAGTCAAAAGTTTTTTCTAACCTAAAATGCCACACTCCTGTCAGTGGTTAATGTGGGTTCATTTATCGTGTTCCGATTAATTATAACTGAGTATGTGAAAATAGAACCGATTAGTGTGAAGTATGGCTAATGACAGAGAGATTTTGCGAGAAGTATGGGAGGGTAAATTGCCCGTTTCCTTTCAACTGGACCCTGATGAAGTTGTTGAGTTGCAACAACCGGACCTCTTTTATTTAATGGTACCACGTTTGAGTTATTTTCCTTTAGTTACGGATAAAGTCCGCAAACATTTCTTACGGTATGTGGCGAATGATAAACAAGACAGAGAAATGTGGTTGGAGTATGATGGGCAACCCATGAAGTGGCATTATCCCATAGGAGTTCTTTACGATTTGCTTATCACATCAGATGATCAATTGCCGTGGAACATTACTGTTCATTTTGATAAGTTTCCAGGGAATCAGATTTATAAATTCAGCAACAAGTTTGTTGTAAAATTTTCTATTCTAATTTTTTGTTTTCATACGCTTTTGTAGAGAAACTGTTGAGTCCTATTTCATGGCTTGTTTGAAGGAAGCTGACGTGTTGAAACATAGAGGACAAATTGCAAGTAATATGCAGAAAAAAGACCATAATCAGTTGTGGTTAGGGTTACAAAATGGTAGTGATATTATTAGCATAAAATGTTCCTATTTAAATTATTTTAGACAAGTTTGATCAGTTTTGGGCTGTGAATCGTAAACTCATGGAAGTCTCACAAGAACAAGAACATTTCAAATACATTCCGTTTAGGTGTTACATGGATGATGGTTACAGACAAAAATTGATTAAACCAGTTGCTGAAGATGGGCGTCGTAAAACTTTACAAGACTTAATAGACGAAATGTTTCCAGGAAAAAATGGTGCACTTCTTGTCTTTGACTTGTACCTACATAATATATTTTTTTATTTTCAGTTGTTATTAAAACCCATGGTATGATTCCTCCTCTAGAAACACCTTTGCAATGGATGTCTGAACATCTTAGTTATCCTGATAACTTTCTGCATTTGTGTGTACAAACGTAAGCTTTTGTGTGATATTGTCAAGAATTTTTGTATTTATTGCCTTAATGTCAAATGTACGTTATGTAGGTGCACAAGCTTATTTTTTGTATAAGTTAAGACTAAAATAGTATATTCAAATTGTAATTATGGATGCTGAGACACGTAGTAGACAAATGTATTTTCTGAAAACTTTATTACTGTCTCTTCTGATAAAATAATTGATTAGATAAATAGATCGATTTTGTTGCAATGCAATGCCAAAATATTTAATAAATTATATTATGAATTTTTACATTTATCTTAAATAAAGTTCTTTTTAAGTAGTTTAATGTGTTTTTATTTGAATTATGATAGATAAAAGCACACTCAAGCTGCAATATTTTTTTGATAATCAAATGGAACGTAAGCTGGATTAATGAAACAAAAAAGATAAAACTTAACACATAAATACGAATGCAGTTGTGCAATGTTGGTTGCCTATCACATAATTAAAATATGTTTTTATAATTGTAGTAATTAAAAATCATAATAATGAATTCATTCTTTGTAATTTTTTCTGTGATAATGGTCGTAAAAAATATGATAGATATATTTCAGTCAATACAGTGGTGTAATTACAAAGGAATTATAATAGAAATTTATGATCTTTCATGTTTCAATATTAATAATAATAATAATTTTGTTAAATTAAATTAAAAGTTGTTCAAAAGAAGTTAAAGGCTACTAACAGTATTCCAAGAATAAAAATATCACTTTAGTTGCGTAATACATACACGAGTAACTACATCACAACCTATGGATGACCTTCTCGCCATCCACAGCGAATAATCTAATTAAACAACTTAACCGGAATGTTTTCGCATATTAATAGATCTAATTGCAGTAATATTGTACTTTACTCTTGGCTTAACTTGTAGGCAAAATGATTTTGCTTAAAGAATTAAAAGAAAATGCTGTAGAATTTATTATTAAACTGTAGTGATAGCAGTCAATAAAGCGGCATCACCCTAAAGAAAAGTTCAAGTAATAAATATGTTTGTGGGGTAATCAAGATTTATAACAGTTTAAAAAGATGAATCTTAAAACTTTCACTGTGAAAGGTATGAGATAACTGGTTATAAACCGACGAACAACCGTTGGTTGCCAAATAGGTGGGTGCATTTTCTTTTTTGAAACAGGAAAATTGGCTGTTTTTCTATTGGTGTGTCACAGTTAGCTAAAATAACACAACGTTATACTGTTTTGCAATTTTTAGTCTTTATGGTTGGGTAATAAGATAATTTTGTTTTAATGTGCACATGAGTAATAAGAGGCCCAAAAATATTTTAACTGTATACATATAATTAATTTTACAACCGTATCATACTTACTGAGAATTATTGCTGGACATTAAAACCAAGTCATACAAGCTCATAAATATTGGAATTTTCTTTGCTGTAAGTGCAATAACCTGAAATAATCGTTTAATTAAAAAAAAATAATGCATACCATTTTATTTTTTGCAAAAACTAGGACAAGCAGAAGAGGAAGAATACTTTGCAAAAAAAAATTCTGATATTTAGTTGAGTTGTTAAAAAATAAATAACGATATTAAGAAGAATAGTTGTAGAAATATTTAAAATAGAATAAAAACTAATTAATTTGTTACACATATCAACCTTTTGGAATGTCTATAGAAAAGGCAATGTTAAAATCAATACAGTTCAATATTTTTTTTTTATTAAAAATTATGTATTTAATAAAAAACATCAGTCTTTTAGAATTTTCGATCAACAGAAAGTACCTGGATTGAAACTAGAGTTATGTATAAAATATAGTCTTTTTTAAATGAAAATTGCCAAGTCAAAACTTTTAATACAGAAAAAAGTTACAAAAAAGATACAAGCGGGGTTTATGAAGATCGGCAATAAATTTTGTGTAATTTATTGAAATGAGCTCAAAGTTGACGTATTTTCTAAATTCTTCTTCGGCTATAGTTTCAAAATTGTTACTTATTCAACTCGTTTTTCAAAATCGGTGCAACGATCGAGACCTACTAATTTAATTGCCCTTTTTCTTTTTGATGTTTATATCGTATTCTTATCAATTTCTGACTAAACATTAGAGAATGAACTTACATTACAAATCAGTGGCGTAGTGAGGGTGGTTCCGCGGAACCCGCGGAACCAGGCCCGGGTCTGCGAAGGGCCCGATCAAAATTCTTACTTATTAACTTTATTGTAAAAATAAAATAAAAAAGTTTTATTGTTAAAAACAAAATTGGCCTACTATGTATTTAAAATTAATGATGTTTATTTTAAATAAAAACAAAACTGCTACTTACAATAACTACGAGTTGGTTACAAGAAATGGCTCTTTTTTTTCTAAACACTAGCGCGTTTGGGTTTAGAATTATTACTTTTTTTTCTCCTGGAGCCATTTCTAAGAAAAGTATAAAAAATAAAAATAAATGTGAAACACTTTATTGCTTCTTTTACGTATTTTCGACCTTCTTTTCTTCAGTCGTTATGCAGAGATTGACACCGAGCAGTGTTCAATTTTTGTGTATTTAATCCATTATAAAACCAAATTGAAAATGTTTTCTAAACACAAATCGGGTAGTGCAAAACTAAAAGAAAAGGCGGCCTCAAGAGAAGAAGAAAAAATGCCAAAGATCGATTTTTTTTTCTTAAAGAAAAGAAAGACGAAATCAGTATCAATCAACATCAAAGTCGGAAAGTGAGGGTAGCGGTTCTGCTGTATCAACTTCAGTTATTGGATATGACCTCCGTAAGTTTATTTTCCGATTTATTTATTAAAACTGGGGCTAATAATTTTTAATTTTAAAATAGCTTTAAAAGTCGATGACTTGGACACTGAATCGAGCACAAATTCTTCAAATTTGAATTTTTGTAAGTTATCATTAAATTTGGTATTTAAATTTTGATTCGAATTTTACTATCTACTTGGCTATCATTTCTATAGAAAATAAAACTGCGCAAGATTTAGATCTATCCAGTCTTATAAACACTTTTGCCAATGCTAAAGCGAGAAAGAAAATTTTGTATTATAATTCAGTTATTACTTTCTGTTCTGTAGTATTATAATAAAGTTATTACTTTCTATTCTGTAGTATTATACAGGATGCGCCAGAGTAAGGTAAGTAAGGTAAGATACCAAGAACATAAAAAAATGTTTAAAAAATTCTATCTGTCAGAAATTTTTGCCATCTATTTTTTGATTTGACATTTTTTGTGTCTATTTAATGATACTGATGTTCTTGTATATGTTTATTTATAATTATTTAGTAAAAATACAAAAAAAAATGCTAATAAAAGCCACAAACAACGTTAAACAGAGTTGCAATTTAGGATACAGCTTCCTTGTATCCTCTTTTAATAGCCTATAGTAAAAAAACTTGGAAAATTATTTTTCCAGCAAAAATAAATAGAGTCAAAGTGCAAACTTTAAACCCTCATAACTTCGAAATTTTTATAGATAAAATTTTTTAAACATTTTTTCCATGTTTTTCTCTGGGGCGCGAGTTCTGGCGCACCTATATATCGAGCGATCAAGATAATTTGTAATCGAGTCATCGCTGCATCTGAGAACGTATGTCTGTTTTTGAACTAACATCACGGGAAACGTCAAATAAAATAACAAGTCGTAAGGTTAAACGGTAAAATGGGCTGTAATTAGTCGCCGACGTATAATAATACGAGTAGGACCGTTCCGTTTTGAAGGTAAATTATAAATTTAGTTATTATAATCATTACCATTTTGATCATGCCATTTTACCTTTCGACTTGTCATTTTACTTGACATTTTACAGACATACGTTTTCGGATTCAAAGATGACTCGATTACAAATTATCTTGACCGCTCGATATAAGAAAGTTATTATTTTCTGTTCTTGGGTAATTAATAATATTAGTTTATGTACCTATGCATTTTATTTCTGCATATAATCCTAAAGGATAAGAAGGGCCCCCCGGCTATGTTTGAACCCAGGCCCGTGAATGTCTCACTACGCCACTGTTACAAATTATGTTTAAGTTTTATCTTGCACACTTTTCGTCTTCTTTCCAAAAACTGTTCGCGGTACCCAATTTGTCCCCATTTTGTGTTTTTACTTCTAAATTTTCTTAGACGATTTTTTGCTGACGTTTATTGATTTTTTTTTAACGAAATCAAAAACCTGAACTGCCAACTTCCTTTATTATAATTACCATGAATGAATTTGTTAGGAGTGCCAACGCTACCTAAGACTGTTTGACATTAGGACCTATTCTGTAAATACTTACCTATTAAAAAATAAAGGTAAGTAATTTAAATAATTAAACCCCCAAATTTAAATAAGCTATTCGGTATGCATAAAATTAAATGCTCATTTAAAAATATATTTTTTAAACAGACCCTTTAAAATATTCGGCTTTCATCGTATTGAATGGAGGAAATGTTATTATTTTGTTATAAATGAACTATTTTTGCTGGTTTTAAATGATGAGCCGACTACGAAAAAATGTCAAGCCAGTTTTATTCGTCATTTTCCGTAAAAAACGTTTAAAATGCTTAAAGAAAGATTGGCACAAATGACGAAAGCGCAGAAAGAGGTGCACATAAGGTATGCACATTTTAGATCAAACTCATTCTAAAGAATCCAAAATAAGAAAATTCAGAAAAAACAAAAAAAAAGAGAATTGTTGAGCCTTAGTTTGCAGGCATAGCAAGAAATCGAAAATGAAAAATGTTTGGAATCCTTGGCCAGTAATATTCTTTGCTACAATAATATGGTTGACCTGGATATAAAGGATGTTCTTCTGGGGGAAAAATATATAATTTTAATATGTGCACAGTCAATAATTACAATCGAAAATAAAAAAAAAATAAAAAATAAAGGAGTTATTTAAAATTTTAACAGGAAAGATACATACAGAATAGCATCACAAATTGACAGCGATTATAAAGTTACAAAAACAATAATTCACACAAAAATTGGTGTGTATTAACATTGTTGGTGAATTATAGCAAGTCATACACAAGATAACGTAGACTTACCCAGACATTATCGCGTAATTTGAATCTGATTGGTTGAATTTCAGAAATTTGAAAGATTTGATTGGGTTAAACTCCGTGACGTCACGTTAGAAAAAATGTGTATTTGTACGACTAAAAATCCCTTTGTTGTGTAAACAAGTGKAAAGGACGGAAAAAATGATGACGTAGAATTTGGTAATACAGGGTGTTTCACATAACTTTGCGAGGCTTGCGCCTAATGTACGCACCCAAATATACAAAAGTCATAGAACAGAACAAACTAGAGAAGATTATCCAATTTTCCAAAAT